GGATATGGCCCCCCCCCCCCCCCCCCCGGAATGGACAGCAGTCGATCGTCGACAGTAAACTGTCTTTCTATCCAGGGTTTTCATTCCTTATCTGCTCTGGTGGTTTCGATGGGGAGGGGGGGGGAGAGGGGGGGGAGGGGAGGGGATGGGGGTTCGATCCGCTTCTACAGCCACATTTCTTTGAAGCTGGATGGAAAATAAATCCTGGACGCGTCACTGTGAACGGTCTCCTTCGCCATTCGAAAACGGTCTCCTGCGAGGGGAAGGGGTCACGGGGGGGTCACGGGGGTCACGTTCATCGTCGGTTTTCCTGCCGCTGTCGTTTACTTTTCCCATCTTGCGGGGCATCCCCCGCCTGTCCTCCGAAACGGACTCGATGAGGCGATCGAGTCCATTCTCTTTTTCTCTTCTGCCATGCTCGGACGAAGGCCTCGATTCCGAAGCCCGGTTCGTGGTACAAGTGCTATCTCAAGCTCGTCGAGGCTTCAAAAACTCTCGTGAACGCGAGAAGTGGAGAGGGGGGACGCAGAGGGGAGGGGGGGGCAGAGGGGACGGAATTTCCTCGTGTAATCTTGAGGCGTCTCGATTCGGTCTTCCAGTGCCGTAAGCACTTGACAAGCTGCAAGAAGCTCGGTGCCGCTGGGGGAATGGAGGGAATAACCCATCGGGGATCCTGCCTTTCGAGGAATAATCCGTCGGGGAAGTTCCCTTCCGGGAAAATGTCCTGGAAAGAAAGGATTTTCCTCGAAGAGAAAATGTCTTCTCGCGAGAGACGGTACCTGGAAAAGTCCACCCTGGGAAATACTTCTTACAGAGAACGAACAGCTCGGGGGAAAAACCCATCTGGGAATTTTCTTTTGCGGAAGACCCCATGAACGGTGAAATTTGCCATTCGACAGGTCGAAGAGGCGAGGATCCAGGCCGGACGAGATAAAACCGCGTCATCCCACTCCTTCCTCTGCGGTGTTGTATTTCGCGATAGGGACGGGGAACGGCCTCGATCTACTTTCGGTCGAATCGTAGCGAGGAATGCGCTCGACCCGGATACCGTGCAAATACCGTGCAAGGTTGGGAAATTCTGTCAAGTGCATGCACGGGTCAGATTGTTCTGTTTGAGGACCGATTGGGGGCAGCGAAAGGAGAGGTGAGCGAGGATCGGATTTTCACCTCTCGAATTCGCGGGTCTTTCGACGATGGCTCTGATAAAATGTTGCATGCCGATTCGCGGTGGTACGACGGTTGGCGCATTCTCATGCTTTCATCTTTTTCCCGCAAAAGTTGCATTTGCAATCAAATTTGATGCGTGAACGTGAACGTCCATTACGAAAAATGAACTCCACTTCGTCTGAAAGCATGCAGCGGTGAAGCAGCAACGAATCGACACCCAGACTGGAAGATTAGCCGTCACGTGGCAATCCGGTTCGCGACCATAGAAATGGCCTAATCATGTCCTAATCCGAGAAAAACTGTCAGGAGGGAAATTGCGTTTGCGCCGAAACTCTCGTTATCAAAAGTTGACGCTTCCCTTTTGGATTTCCATCGACTTTCTTTGGATTCTCGATCCGGGAGGCGAACCAGAATCTGCATGGAACCAGCAGTTTCGGACCCGAACACACCTCTACGAGGGGATTGGCACCTCTCCCCCACGAAACAGGATTCCTCATTCATTCCGACGCGAAGATATGATATAAAGCCGCTCTCGATATGGAGGTTTGGAGGTGAAGGTCAGCCGCCGTGGAGGACGGAGAGGCGCCCGCTTGGTTCCCGTTCGACGCGAGGGGAGACGATCCTCCGTCTCGTGCGGCGGATTCGTCGCTTGAGGCGTTGTGAGTGCGAATTGGGTGTTCGGCGCTTAAGTATGCACTCTGAAATGCATGTGGTTGAGCTACATGCCGAATGTAAAATGTGGCAGTGTTGGAGAGGTTGGTTTTAAGTCTTTTTTTTTTTCTTTCACGCGTAATTTGATCCAGGAAAACCATCTTGAAACTTTAGCGGGTGAAAAAAGATGAACTAGGCAGCAGTAACTCTAGGCAGAGTTACTGCTTCTGCAATGAAAATGCAATCAGCGGCTTGGACGACTCTCGAGAACTTCTTTTCGTGAACTTTGCTGTGCTTACATTCGGCAGAAACTTACATCCCCTCTGTGCCAAATAAGAAAGTACTACTGGTCTGCCCGAATATCTGCCGCGAGTCTTCGGGAAACATTCAGCGCGCATCGCTCCTCTCGTTCGTATATGCACCAGATCCGTTGTTCTCGTTACTTCACCGACACTTATGGGCTTTCTCGATCCAAAGTAATCCGTATGAACTCTCCCTTTATGACCTGAAATCGCCCAACGGCCTCGGTTTTGTGCATCCTCTCACGTGTACCTCAGTGGCAGATGAATTTCCTGAAAATCGTTCACCCAATGTTCGGAGAGGTTTCGGAACGTGGAATTTTCACAGATGAGCAGCTTTTGGGCGCTCGGTTAAGGTACCGTTTCATCTCCGACATTCTATTCTTAATAAGTTTCTCTCAAGGACATCAGTTGATCGTGGAATAAAACTTTTTTTTTTTAGCACATATGTGCTACTCGAGCAGCGAGCAAGCCATCAGGCAGGGGCCCGAGCAAACACGGTACGCACAACGAGATAACGCCTGAGTGACCGATAAAGCGAATCGATACCTGATGCAACTGGAATCAGTCCCCAACTGCTTTTCACAAGGTACCCGATCTTCCCCCGTAGACACCGCAGAATGAGACGTTCGAATCCATGAACGCTTGCGAGGCAACCCGATCCGAGGAATCTCTAGGAAACCGCCCGGTCTGCACGACGGCGTCGACTCGGTGTTGATAATATCTTCACGATGTCGAGGCTGATGATCCGATGCAAAGTCCACAGTGACGCGATGTCGAAAATATATCAAGATTGCAAGGACATCGTCCGGTCAACATTACATCGAGATGCGTCGGGTGAGACATTCGAACGAAGAGGGTTTCCTGATCCCGATGTGAGATGGCGTCAAATCGCCAACACAGGGAGTTACCTCATATGCAACTGGCACGCGTCCCCAGTTCTTTTGGAACGGTACTTGACATTTTCTACTCAGACGACACTGGGTAATGTATCCGAATTCCTGGATACATTTGACGAAAGAGGCAACCCAACTCTATAAGATCCAGGGTAATTCTGACCCTGGGAACGGCGAGAATAACGTTCACGTGTTGATGAGATACCATGAGAGCCCACCGCTCCTTCCCCCTCAATTCAAGCATAGAAGAGAGAGTGTAACTAGAGGCGATGTTCCGCTCGAATGCCATTCATCGACAGGTTCACAAGCACATCGACAACTCCTCAATGGCCGAGCAGCAGACTCGACGAAACACGCGTCACATTGAGGGATCCCTTTGGGTCGAATCCCCGAACGAGTCGATTCCCGAGTCCGCTGCCACGAAGCACTCCTCATGGAGGTGTTGTTGCCACCAGATGTCTCTGTAATATTTCGTTTCCCCCCTCCTCCCCCCTACCCCTCGGAGTGTTGTCTCTAGTTACGTTCTCTACTCTTATGATTTAAGCATAGAAGGGATTTCGAAATCTGTTTCTGCGGTTCACGCAGTAGGATCCATGGAGTGATTTGCAGTCATCTCATCTTTAGCTGCACTCACTCTGCTGTCTTCATCCTTCCGCAAGATCGGGATGTCCTCATCTGATCTCGGCATAGGGTCTGTGTCGAGATGGGAGAAGGGTTTCATACCGTGCTGACGATTCACGGAATACTTCAGTCATCAAATGGCGCATGCGAATTCATCTGCGCGTGCCATTGGCGCATGCGCAATGCATGTTGATAAATTGTTGAGATCTGTCTCATTTCAACATCGAGGGAATGCTGATTCAACGCGGCGATGAATGTTCTTCAACGTTGCAGATGTTGAGACTTCAATGCTGTTCCAACGTTGCAACGACATTGATGTGCAGACTGGGCGGTTCGGAGGGTGGAATGTTTCAACTTCTAGCGTGACTCCGTGGAATGGACAATGGATATTATCACTTCCAATAGGAACTTTACGCAGGGCGCGTCTAACTTATCACGATTCGAATGTGGTGTAAAACTCCATCCTAAAGAATCCTTTCAGATACGAAAACCCACAAGGGGAAAAAGATCTACAGAAGATAAAAATGTTAGAAATAATTATCCGCCTGGAAAGGAAGACGAAATCCCAAGAGACAAGATGGGTGGTTGGGAATATTACCTTCCCTCACAAGAGAAGGTTTCTTTTCTTTTACTTTTCGAATGCAGTTGTAGATAAAGGCATCTGAAGGTCACAAAGCCTCAATTCTGCCTTCCGACGAATCGATGAGACAGTTGTTGGAGATGTATGCATAGAATGTATCGTTACGAGCCGTTGCTGATTTCTTCTCGGACAATCTCATCGTGAAATCACGAGGTGAAGTTCGATAACGCGTAAAACTTCAAGCGAGAAGCTAAAGTCGGGCCTGCAACCGGTGAAGCAGGTTTCTTCCTCGACTCTTCGCTTGCTCCGATGAACTGAAGAGACAATATCTGGAGAATGGATGAAGCCCAAATAATATGTCGAGAATCTCGAAAACTTAAAGAATCGCAGTATGGTGAAGGCTCGGCGTTGTTCTCGAAAACCGATGATGGTTCCTGTTGATTTGCTTTACAGATGGAAGGAAGGTGTGCATACGTCGTCCTCATCATGGCGGCATACTGGATGACAGAAGCCATCCCTTTGGCTGTGACCTCCCTCATTCCCGTCTTCCTCTTTCCCCTATTCGGGGTCATAGGGACCTCCGACGTGTGCATGGTCTATCTGAAGGAGACCAACATGATGTTCATCGGTACGTTTTCTCTATGGTCCCTATTCATTGCGAGAGCGAGATTGTACGAATGAGGTATGCGAATGCGTAGGTGGTCTCATTGTCGCCATTGCCGTCGAGCATTGCAACCTCCACAAGAGGATCGCCCTTAGGGTCTTACTATGGGTCGGAACCACGCAAAAATGGTCAGTTTCCTTCGCTCTCACTTTCCTAGAGATTCATTTGCAAGAAGCCTTGCGAAATGGATGTTGTTCATTCCTTGCCTCCCTTCCAATACTTTTACGTTCAAAAACAAATATATTGATCTAAGGCAGTCAATTTCTCTGCAATTGCGCCAGTCTCCAGAAAGGGGTGAAAATCAACTATATGATCCTTTGTTCCGTATGTAACGAGGAAGGTTGATGCTGGGTTTCATGCTGACGACGATGTTCCTGTCCATGTGGATCTCCAACACGGCAACAACTGCCATGATGGTCCCCATCGTGGAGGCCGTCCTCATGGAACTCTATCGGGTAGGAGCCTCCAAAGATGTCTCGTGCCATTCACTCTTTCTCTCTCTCTCCCTCTCTCGTTCTCTCTCTCTCTCTCCCGTTCTCTCTCTCTGTCTAAAAGTGTTTGTGGTCGATGGAATGTACCAAACAGAAAGAAGAGAATGCCCCAAGAATAGCGGTGGTGAGTGGGTCGTCTCGAGAAGACCTACAACGTGGCAGCATGCAGGAGCTGCGGCGCCTGCCGGAGCGAGAAGCTTCTGAAGCGTCCTTCAAGCCAGTCCTGGAGATAGAGGATGAGTAAGTGCATCTTTTTCTTTTCACGTTGGCATCTCTATTAAGATCGATTCTGCAATATAGTTCAGGAAAGTCCAAGGTTCCCAGTAGTGCGTGATTAGATGGGCGTGAAAGCTGGTTGTATCGATCAGGTGGGGAGTCCCGTTTGAGGATTATCTACATGAGGACGATGACTTGAAGGAGGGATACAACAGTGCGAGAGTAGGGTGCCTATTGGCAATGGCGTATTCCGCCAATATCGGGGGGACGGGGACTCTCAACGGGACGGGACCCAATCTCGTTCTCAAATCCGTTCTCGATCGGTATCGGTCCACGTCCACATTCCTCCCTCAGCATGAAACCTGTATGCATGCATATGAACTCGTTTCCGAGACATCTGTCGCCGGCATTACGATATCTAATAACACCTTACTAATGCGCTTCCTGGCACCAAGTGGCTCATTGTACTATTTGTGGGAGGGGGGCGGGGGGAATATCAACGAAGATAATCACCAGGAAATATGCCAACAAGTGCAGAATACAGAAAGAAAAAAAGAGAGCCCTCTCCATAATTGAGAATATTGTCGTCATCTATGATGCTGATTGGATCTAGCTTGTGGCAAAACTGGGAAAAGGATGACCATTCGAAGAAGTTCAAAGAGGGCTACCACGAGGCTCGGATTCAAGTCTTGTTGGCCGTGGCTTATTCGGCTAACACAGGAGGAACAGGAACCCTAACCGGAACAACACCCAATCTCATTCTTAAGGCAGTGGTGGACGAGTACGTCATTCTTCTTTCTTGGTGCCTGCACGCTGTTCTGAGTCAGTTCGTTTGCATCCCGTGATGTCTCCGCTTGTGGGTCTCGCATGGGAAACTGGGTTTCGTCGCTTGCTTGGGAAGGATGTCTGAACGCAAAGAGTAACCATGCTGAATACGTAGGACGTACGGAAGCGAGTCAGGGCTCAATTACGGTACTTGGATGGCCTTCAACGTCCCCGGAATGTTACTCAACGTCTTCATTGCCTGGCTCTGGCTGCTGGGCGTCTTCCTCTTCGCTCAGTGAGTGGCACGGTCTAATGTCACACCTGAATCTCTCCTGTCGATAGATAAGTTAAAATGGCATGAGCAGGTGGAGGGACCGTCGGAACCACCCAGAGAAGAATGTGACGAGTAAAAGCGATTCAGCGAAGGCAGAAGAGGCGGCTCGAAAGGTGATCGTCAAGAAGTACGAGGAACTGGGATCCATTTCATTCCACGAATTCATGACCCTCACCCTTTTCATCACTCTTGTTCTGCTCTGGCTCTTCCGGGAACCTCAGTTCATCCCCGGGTGGGCCGATAAGATCAAGGAAGACAAGTATTCAATCTTTCATTTTTATTCCCCTTCTTCTCTCTGTTTCAATGTGGACTCTGCGACTTGAATGAACGGCTTCATCACTCTTTAGGCATTTTGAAATCGGAGACGCGACCGCTGCGATGTTCATTGTCTTCCTTTTCTTCATCATTCCTGCGAAACCCGACTTTTGGTGCTTCCGAGAATCTTCAAGTAGGCAGAAACATATTTCCCATATATTTCTCCTTACATTTGGTCCGAGTGAAGATCTTTCACATCTTAGATGAGCCGTCGCAGTCGAGCGTGGCTCTTCTCAACTGGAGGGTCGTCCACGAGAAGTTGCCATGGGGGGTTGTTCTCCTCCTCGGTGGAGGATTTGCAATGGCCGAGGCCTCCGAAAAATCCTGCCTGTCCTATTGGCTGGGTCAGCAGATGGGAAGTATGAAAACGTTGGATCCACCCGTTCTCGTTTTCATCATCACTCTCATGACTGCCATGATAACGGAGGTGGCCTCCAATACTGCTACTGCTACCATCCTCATGCCAGTTCTGGCACAGCTCGTACGTTCATTCCTAAACAAAATATTACTTAGTTTACTTCGGATGTTATGGAATGGGTCCTAATGTGAGGACAACCTTTCCAACATGGTTTTCTTTTCTTGTTTTGTCTTGTCTGTCTATCTGCTGCAAAAAAAGTATTTAAGAAAGTTAGGGGGAAGTTAGGTGGTTAAGAATGGGGGCAAAATTGTATCGTTCTCATAAATTATCTTTCGTTTCTCATTCTCCTTTGAATGAAGTCAAATGTGGTGAAGATGAATCCTTTGTACCTGATGCTGCCATCGGCTGTGGCTTGTTCATATGCCTTCATGCTACCCGTGGCCACTCCTCCCAACGCTATCGTCTTCGAGGCCACCCAAATGAAGACCACCAGCATGGTACGTCGAGGTCCTTCTTTCCCCACGTCTTTCCTTTCGACTGGATAACTTCTCCTTTTCCCTGTGATGCAGATGAAGGCAGGGTTTGCCATGAACGTGATCTGCGTGTCAGTGATCAACCTTATGATCAATACGTTGGGGTACAGTATCTTCCACTTCGACTCGTTCCCCGCCTGGGCGAATGATACCGCGACTTCCGGCTCATCCGGCTCCTCGCATTGCAACTACACTATTTCCTAGTACCTTGATGTCCTTTGCATCTAATACTCTTATTCATGTCTTCCAACTGTTTTTTCAAGTATCCGGTGTGGGAATCCAGAGACTGCATGACAATTAATTTTCATGTAGTATCATCATCAAAGACTTTTAAGGGGATAGAATGTCCATTGGATTCCTGTCTAGCAGCCGACTTGGTTTAATGTGTGGAAGACATGAAAATAGGATTGGTTGTGAATGGATGTGGATCATTATATTTATTCATCATTAAAATAACATTTTGGAAATGGAAGGCTATTTCAGTCACGGAATCCAATCATATCGGTCTTTCCCATTTTCCCTCATTGGATCTCTTAGACAACTCAATCACCCAAAACAATGCTATCATCTTCCTTTCATATCTTGCAGGAACCGGCCCTCATCCTGCAGACCCAGAGTCAAATATTTCAGGTTCACAACATTACAATCACCATCATTTATAATTAGAACAATTCGCTCGATCAAATCATCCAATAATTTTATTTCATCAGTGCACCGTTAGAAAAAAATCCTCTGTACTATAACGAAAACTATATACTTGCTGGTGCTTCCGTCCAAGCAGTTTTTAATCCAATATTGCATCGAATTTTTGTTAAGCTTTTGCCCGGACAAAGTATAAGAGATTTCCCTATTAGCTCAAAGTGGAAGAACATGACGCTTTCTGGTGCACAAAGTCAATATCTCAAGCTTCACAGCAATGTTACGGTGAAGTCGACATCGTATTGACAAATACAGTATGTGAAATTCTCATTCACTTCGTATCGCTCTAAACATTAGGACAGGTTGGAAGGCATATCGACACCTTGGGACATTCCTCTTAACCTTCTTCGTATAGGACACTCCCCACTTCTCGATGGGGCTGAAGTGGGGGGACCCCGAATGTCATTCTTTTGATATTTTATTATTGATTTATTTGTTTATCTTATTTTGAAAACGACATTAAGGTAGCAGGATTCCTTTAGGGCGACTTTTGACTCCAATGAATATCGGAGTGAGAACAATACACCATTGGGAAGTGCAGGGAATGGCTTCCGTTTCGATTATTTAATTAGCATAAATTATGCTAATGAGGTACCAATATGGCCGACACAGCACCAAAATCCTAACCATCTTTGAGACAGCATTTCTCATGTATTAATGATTCTGAACTCACGAAACTCATGCAATACATCGATCAAATATTTATTCAAGTCCCGATGGTTTCAGATTTTCAAAGAACATACATACAAAGAATTCTCAGCTGACTGAACAAATTTTCACCATTTTCCTCCCAATAATAATTGCAAAATAGCAAAAAAATCAGTGTATTTGAGAAACAGTAAAAAAAAATGCCACGACCATTCCCTGAGGAGACATTTCAAGTATCTTAGGCAAAAAAAATTACTCATGAAGGTACGAAATCAACGAAGTTATGGCGTCTTAAAGATTACTGTCCATGATGAAAAGCGTTTACTGAGAAAGCCCGAAGGAATAGTGAAAATCTCCATCTATTCGTAGATTTCGATGTCTAATGAGCACCTGCCTCGTAGAAATTACCCTCAGAATCCTCACATTTATCGTAAAGACCTTTTTTTCATCGCTCGCAACACTTTTCGGCGTTTTTTTACCAGCTCCGACGACTTTTTGGCCGAGTGATACAAACGGCTCAGATCACAGTCTTTGGCACTCTCACCTGTAAATCTCCCATAAGGCACTCCTAGTTGCTCAAATAGTCTCAAAACGGCAATGCTGCCGTCATTTAAGTGACTGACAGCCGAGTAGACAGCCTCCTCGATCGTTTTGTGGCCCACAAATACTTCCTTATTACACTTCTCCTAAATAAGTTTATTCAAACATTCATTTGTGTTTTATGTTTTGCCGTACAGGCATTTCGCAAGTAGCTCTAGTGATGCAAGTGAGTCGTAAATAAGGTCTATCAGTTCTAAAAAATTTTCGACGTACTTTTTGTGAAAATATTCTACACAGATGGACGTATCCAAGGGCCAAAGTCGTTGCTAGGGAGACATTGTTTTTGATGATCATCACTAACCATTGTAGTAAAAATAGAGGACCTTTTTCTCATTTTTCGATCGAACATCGATAGAGCAGTGAAAATACTATAGCCTGAACCAAATTTTGGGAAAACAATATTTTTCATGAAAATCGACTTTTAAATGGGATTGTGTACCAGAATTATCAGAAGATAGTCATACGTTTAATGTTTAATCTCTTCGTGAAGAGAGAAGTAATGTTCATAAACAGAGCCCTCGATCTCGGAGCGCGGCCGGATTTCCTTCCGTTGCTAAGGTCAATCATTCATGGCGGGGAAAAAAGCGACAGCAAGAGTCAGCGAGATGCCATCGACATTTCCACATGTATCTCATCTGTTCCGTTCGGAAAATCGATTGCAAAGTGAAGTGAAGCGGATAGAGTAGTTAATCAATAGGCGCGATAGCGCCGGTTATCTTTCTTCAACCCCTTCCCGCCGCAAAATTCAACCTCCTCGTATTCCTGTCTGAGAGCATAAACAGGAACGAAATTTGGCATACTTCTTCCTCTCTCACCACGGAATCGCTCCAGCTAATTTGAAGCTCCATCTCCCAGGGGTTGCGGAGAACACTGAATCTCGTTTTTGGAGGATGTGAATTTCATTCCGTTTTTTTTTACCCCCCCCCCTCCGGGTAGCCACTCCTAGGAGGTTTTGGAGGAAAGAGACCAACCATAAGAAAGATATTGACTCGTAGATGACGAAAAGTGGCTTTTTTGCTGTTTGCGTTGCTCCATTTCGCCATAAAAAATGAAATTAGCTGCCCTTTCAATTAGGCTTAGAGTGCCAGCTCCGGTACAGTCCCCCAGTGTTACCGGATACCGTGCCGAAGTTATGGCAGATTCAAGACTGTTTCAACCTTCGTATTGGCGTCTGAATCTTCTGGTTTTTAATGTATGAGACATTTTTGTGCAGAGTTCATGAGATGAGTTGAGAATGAAGCTGTGGTTAGCAGATATTGATCGATGTGGTGCGATATATAGATATGTTATCCGGACATCCCTGATTTAACAGGATGGCGCTTACCATGGATTCCATGCTGCATGATGGCATTCTCTCAGACGTATTCGAGATGGTTCGAGGAACTCCAAATAAGCCTAACGTTCCACGTCCCACTGAAATTGAGTCCAGAATTGAGTTTCTTTTAAAAAGAAAAAGGTATGGCTTGGCGTGACCTGAAGGCAGTCTGTTGGTTAGGCCTGGGCCTAACGTTAGCGAGTCCCAGGGAAAGGGGGGGGGTTGAAGAAAGGGAAAGCGATTGAAAATTGGTTTTCACATTACTTCATGATTAACATAGAGGCAAGAATGTGGGACCGAGGCCAGCAAACGAGGCCCCCCAGGAAGCTTTAAATCCTCTAACACACAGGCCATGGACATTCAAAGTGGCGCTCGGCAGAAAGTAATGGAAAGAAACACCCTTCTCGCGAGTTTTGATACGTACTATGACGCACTAGACACGCATGGCTATTACTTCAAAACGTTCTTCTCAGTCGAAACACGATATCGTTTTGTTAGAAAGGCCCTATGGGCATGAAGATAATTCAGAGCGATACAGAGAGGTCGAGAAGCATGAGATGCAGCCAGAGTCCGTTCGTTTACTCGAAAATAAACCGACATAATCCTATGAATCCTGCGAAGAACCAGAGAATAGCATACACTCGCAAGAGCTCTGAAAGAAATGGCCTGCTCTGGGTGAGACGTCTGGATTCGTGAAATGTAATGCGCATGCGCCAGCAGGAGATTCTGATGGTTCATGCGCATTGCAAAGGGGGACTCAACTGCAGTGTCGCTCTCCCTGGAGCCAAGCCCTGCGAATGCGCCTCAGGTCGAGATGAGGAGGGCTGGCAGTTCATCGTGGCTTTCCCTGTTTATCAGCATGTTTAAAGTCCGCAACTAAAGGTTTTGCTTTCGCCCTTTTCAAAGGCAATTTCTTTAGCAGATGCTTTTTTTTTTTCCTGATAAGTTGAAAAATGGGAAGTAAGCGTAGAATTCAGATGTTTCCAAGATATTGAAAGCGGCGTTCTTTTCTTCATGGTTCGCGCCTAAAAAACAATAGGTATTTGCTTGGTATTCTTTACTCACCGCGTAAGACACTGAGGATTCCTAGTGTGCCCTGCGAGTCCTGAAACAAAAGAAAAATTACTATTGATTCCCTTATGCTTTCGAGACACCCTGTATGGGAGAAAAAGTGGTCGACGCAATAGAAACCGAAGTGCAAGCGGGAAGAATGCCTTCCTCGAAGCTTCGAGGCATCTCTCACCCCTGAATGAATTCGTTATTCGACCGTCTCCGTTTCCGAGACTCACAGGGTTCTTCCATGGTTTCTGAAGATTCTCTTTTGTTGGAAAGGGAAGGGGCCGGAGATTCGAGGAAGAGGGGAAACTGGCTGGTTTCGGGTTGTCGCTCACGTCCCTCGTTCATGAGGTGGCCCATGAGTCGCGCATCAGAGGGGATTCTCTTTTTTTCCGTTGTTTTTCTCTCGGCAGTTGTTCGAATTGAATGGTGGTTTTTTCGATGAATTTGGCATGTTCGGTGGTGATGGTATTCTTCAGTTCGTCCAGGAAATCAGATCGTCAGGCGAAACTGTCCTATTGAATGGCCTCTATATCGCAAGATCAGACACTAATGGATTCGGTTTTCTGGAGACATCTAAAGGACATAATCTGGCACGATCACGATCTGACGCATTGGCACGATCACGATCGGGCACATTGGATGCATTGACGATCCATCACCTCTGAATGTGCGAAAATCATCGTGAAAACATTGAAGAGTTGAAGAATCCATCCCGACTCGTAAAAACATGTATATGGAGACGGCACTCATTTCGAAAACCTATTATGATCAAACGAAAAAAAGGGGAATTTCATACGGTGCACCACATGTGAGCCACCCTGTACATGACCTTCAAAAGAATGGTGTACGATTATGTGCGTTCATATCTCATTCACGCACGAGTCGCGCAATTCGTTCTGTGGTCTGACAGCGGCATGATCAGAGGAGGCGGAGACGGTTCGTGACGGCTCGCTCCCTCAAACTCGTCTCGAGACGATCGGGGAAAAGAAGGAGTCGACGAGAGAAGACCCCCAACCCAAGGGAGAGAAGACCCCCAACCCAAGGGAGAGAAGACCCCCAACCCAAGGGAGAGAAGACCCCCAACCCAAGGGAGAGAAGATCCCCAGCCTAAGGGAGAGAAGAAAGAGTCGAGGAACACTTTCTCGCATCTTCTCATCTCCGAAAACGAGGTGAGACTTTCGCGACGAGGGGCCTTTCATTAATCCCCGTCCAAAGGGATCGAGCACTGTGAGAAAAAATGGTCCGGCTTTTGTCCCTTTAAGGGTGTTTCAACTGGAACTCATATTTATCATATGTGGGTTACATATTTTGCCTTTTTAATCGGTTATGTTAAAGATCCTTTTAAAGAGGTTAAATAATAAACGGATCTGTCACATTCCTAGGATACCACTCCCCAATTTTATCATTCAATCGTCAGGACAAAAAAGCTCGTGAAAGACTTGGTGGTCCAAGTTTCTTTATTCGATTCAGATGTTCCATGCGGATGAAGTTAAAATTGATTGTGTACGGGCTACTGTTAGTGAAATCAAGCTTTTTTTGGTCTAAGATCCAGGAATCTGTCTCGAATATAGAAATAACGAATGAGGAATGAGTGTCCGCGTTCATTACTGCCGGTAATGAGGCAAGACGAAACACAGGACGAAATGAGATAACGTACCTGTGAGGGAAATTCCCAGGAAATAGGGAAGGGCGATTCTACGTACTGAGGGAAACTGGAAACTGTAAAAACAGTTACTGGAAACTGCAAAACTGCAAAACTGTAACACCATGACTCCATCTAGTGGTCAAAAGAAGGGAACCTTACGAGGGTTGAAGGGTTGATCGAAAAGTTCCGGGACTGAATTTTTTTAATGATGCTGTGGTGGCTCTTTCCGACTACTGACAGGTATACGCTTGAAAGTGGTCCTCTTCGGCATCTGCACAAATTTTCCGGCGCTTCTTCAGTCGCTGGAATCATTGCCGATTCTCGGCTTTTGGAATCGCCAGCGGCGCTCGTGGCGCGTTCGTGACGCTACTTTAAATGTTCTCATATTTCAGCGGTTTCGGCGGTTTCCGACCTTCCCCTGCAATCCTCGGTGCTTCAAAAGCAAAAAAAAAAAAAAAAACTCACCGAAGTTCTCTCCTAGTGATTTCTTCTTGTTCCCTAGGCCAAAAGAGTGTGAATCTTTCCGGCGGCCGAAGGAAGACCGGAAAATTTGTGCATATGCCTAAGTGGGCTGGTTTGAACAGAACCATGAGTAGTCGAAAAGAGTCACCACGTAAAACATTCAGACCCGGGAACTTTTGGATCACCCTTCGTACGTGACACCCTTGCAAACGGTGTTTCCTTCTCATCCTTCTCATCCTTTTCTTCCGTTTAACCCTGAAAAGGTTAAAACCTGAACTCCGTTCGGTAACATCAGGTTTCCACGAAGAACTATTTCGTCGGGGATAAATATGCAACCTCAAAAAGGATATATTTATTCCTTTTCTTGATGGTATATTTGAAAAATTTTCCGAGATAATTGATAATTGGTCTCGTACACAGTGACCCCATTTTCATTCGTCGAAGATAGCGGTTCGAGGGTTTTACGAAAGCGAGAAACTGTCTCATCTTCGGGGTGGGTTATGAGTCCCACGTCGTTCAGAGCAAACGCACGTATCAGATCGATGACGGTCCAGCAACCTGATACGAATTGGTCCACCTTGTACGCGTGCTACTTTCCCTCGCTTTAAAATAAAAAGACCATCACTTAAATATTAAATTTTTCCTCTGGAGCTGGAGAATTGATTCATTTTTCATCGAAAGACCATTTTCCCTTCAGTGTTTCGTATATGTAACCTCAGAAGGGATAAATATGCATTCCTGTTCTCATTGATACTCATTTATCCACGCACACGATTAATAAATATTTAAAAAAAAGAAATGTTTAACCCTCTCAATCGAAAAAAAAAGGATATAAAGAATTCATCGCATTTCAAATAAGCATCCAATTAACCTTTTTAAATGGTGGTTCACGATCATCTAACCTTTTTTTACGGTTTATCCTTCACCTAGGTTAAACCCTGAAGGCTTTGACCTTTTAGCATCCGTGGGTGGCCATCGCGATGCGGCCAGCGGCGGCGAAGAGAGTGAAGTGGACCTCCCACGTCTTCCCCTTCTGGAAGACCTGGGTCATCGTCCTCGTACCGACTCTGGCTCTCCCTTTACTCTTCATTCCTCAACAACGAGTGGTGAGTCTCTCTCTTCGCCCCACTGAGGGGATCCTTTTATTCGAGGTGGATCGTCATCATCCGCCCGTGTAAAGAGGCAAACTCTAACTTACAAGGTCGTTTTTGTAGATGAGGAACTCGGTCGCATTCCCAAGACTAGGTCCGGATCGTACCGGTAAGTGGCTCGGCGCAAGATGTGCTCGAGTGTTGCTCATCGTTTGTCTCGTGTGGTCAAACTGTAAGAAAAAGGAAAGCTTTTCTTTTTTGCTCACATCCACTTTCCTGATCCCGTTTCTAAAACCTCTAAGTAATGGCTAGGCAGTATAATATCGAGAACTGGAAATGTTAGGAAAGCGTCTGCATGACTTAGCCAGGAATTTTAGCATCTCCCCGTATTAGCTTGGGTCCGTGTTCATGCGAAACAGTCCAAACGTCTGTCCTTCCTCCCTCCCCCCCTACCCCCCCACCCCTCCTTCCTTTCCAGCGTGATCTGTTCCAAGAAGCAGATATTCTCAAAATGGATTCTAGTCCATATTTTGAAAGTGGAGACGTACTGATGAAGCTAAACAGAAGGTTGAGTGATGTCCCAGAAAGCCCATACTGGTACGAGCCGATTGGGATTACAGATGGAGGGAAGGTGTGCATACGTCGTCCTCATCATGGCGGCATACTGGATGACGGAAGCCGTCCCGTTGGCCATAACCTCCCTCATTCCCGTTTTCCTCTTCCCCCTCCTTGGGGTCTTGGGCACCTCCAAGGTCTGCACGGTCTATCTGAAGGAGACCAACATGATGTTCATCGGTACGTACTCTCCCTTCTCCGCATCTTTTTTTTATCGTGCAGGAATGCATACACGACGTGTGTCATGCGTAGGTGGTCTGATGGTCGCCATCGCCGTCGAGCACTGCAACCTCCACCGAAGAATCGCGCTTAGAGTCCTCGTCTGGGTCGGAGCAGCACAGAGATGGTCATTTTCCTTTCATTCTCGTTTTTTCCTGGCGGCCACGTGAATTTCGGGTTTCGTTTTATTTTCATTCCATTACGTCGTCGGTCCTTCAGTAGATGAATTAATTAACGATGACCTTACGGTATACAGCAAGGATAATTGGTAGGATCATTGGTGGAGCTCTTTTGAAATTGGTGCAAAGGGAAGAATCGCAGAGCAGGTGAAAATCAACTACGTATTTCTCCATTCTATTGAGTAACGCTGCAGGTTGACCCTGGGGTTCATGCTGACGACGATGTTCCTGTCCATGTGGATCTCCAACACAGCCACAACTGCCATGATGGTCCCCATCGTGGAGGCCGTCCTCACCGAGCTCTATCGGGTAAGCATTTCAAATGACGTCACGCCTCTCTCCCTTTCTCTCTCTGGCTCTAAAGGTCTAATGATCGATGGAATGCGCCAAACAGAAAGATGAGGGTGTTCCAAAAATTGAGGTGGTGAATGGGTCGTGTGGAGAAGGCCAACAATGCGAATTCCAGCTGGAAGAACCGATATCCAGGAGGTCCACCGAAGCCATACTTGAGATTGAAGACGAGTGAGTATATGTCCGTCTCCTCGTTTCGTTCCTCCGTAAATTAATTCCAGCATGGATTAGGAAATCCCACGGTTCCCATCAGTGAATGATATAAAACGTGATATATAGCGTGGCTATAAAACCTCCCTAGTAGCGTTCAGGTGCGGAGTCCCGTTTGAGGAGAATCTACACTGTTAAAGAAAGACTTGACGGTGCATATGGGTGCCTTCAAGGGTGTGCCTGTAGTGTCCCAGGGCAGAAGCATTTTGAATGTGCATATGCACCCTTTACAAGTGGTATAAGTACCCCTCATGAGGGTGCGCACGTGTCTTTTAACCTCTTTCATCCGTACCCTGAATGTAACAGACCCAAATCCTATTAATTGCCTCGAGGCATGACGGCAGCACCCGTGGGTGCCTGTATTGCTCAACATGGTTCGCATGAAGTTCTTTTTCAACACCCTCTACCACACCGCAGCACCTTTCCTGGCCATAACGTGCACCTTATGCAGGCCTTCTCTCATCCTGAGACTTGGCTGTATACGGAGCGTGAGCGAAAACATATAAACTTTATTTGTTGTTGGTGTCACTTGGTAGTGGGAGAACCTCCACGAATGGAGACTTCCTCAAATGGAAGGGATATGGGAAGGGATTATTCATGGTTCGATACTTAATTTCGATGGTCTCATTCATCTACTTCCTCGATCCAGGGATTCTTCCTCCCTGAAGAATATGAGAATGAACCATTAACACCCTTTTTTAAATATACGGTGTAGGGCAGGGGTGCACAACTCAAAAGACTGTGAGGGCCACTTACGATTTTTATTCACCTACCGTGGGCCGCAACTACTCCTATGACTTACTTCCATACCTGTGGCCAACAAGGCAGGAACCATAGCAGCATAACGCCACCAGTCGTGGCGGGCCGTGTGTTGTGCACCCCTGGTGTAGGGATACTTGCATGGAAAAAGAAAACATCGACTTGGAGTAAGAGATATATGAAGAATCCTCGGTGGATATTGGATTAATTTCAATTACTAATTAGCATTTGAGGTTGCAAAAAATATGACCACCTTGTATGTCCTTCCAAGTGTCTTGCTTTCTTACATCAACTTCTTCTTAACCAGATTCCCTGAAATTTGAATTGATTGATCAAATCGGTGGGAAAATGCATATTCAAACTTAAATTTACTAGGCTTTCACCTATAGTATACCTGAGCGTCTCAAACGTATTGCCAACATGGAACTAAGTGGACCTAAAGATCTGAAGACGCACGACGCGCGTTTCATCTTCCGACGCGAGCCATTCGTTCCCTTTACGTTTAGGAGTTACGGGTTTGAGTTTTCAATGTATCCAGGGATATCAGGGATTTTTGTGACTCAGTACAACTGGGAATGTGGTTCCGTTCGCGGACGGAGTTTCTCTGCTTCATTCGTTGTGACTTCGAATACCATTTCGACCGAATATTTCCATGCAAAAAAATTGATTGTTTACTGATTCCTATCTTTCTACGAAGTCTGGGTCATCGTGGAACCAAAAAAAAGAAATAGGGAGAATTCCGTCATCGAATGCAATTGTCCTGGATTTCCTCAACTCCAAAACGATTGAAGGAATTTTATTGAATTTATTTGAAGTGTGTTCGTGCTCATCATCCAAGAAGCGCCTGGGAGGTGATCATAAGATATTAAAAATTGGAATAGCAACAATCCCGAGGGTCGAGGAAAAGGTGAAAATCGAGACCACGCGAACGCACATCCGCACCGTGCAACCCCCCATGCATGCCTGATGGATGCTCATTCTCTGCGCCCTTTCTTCCTCTCTTCTTTTCGTAGGACGGATAGCGTGGATGGTGAGGATGGGATGGAGGAAGGGCACAAAAGTGCGAGGATGGGGTGCCTGCTGGCCGTGGCGTATTCCGCTAATATCGGGGGGACGGGGACTCTCAACGGGAGCGGACCCAATCTCGTTCTCAAGTCCATCGTACAAAGGTATTCATTCACGGCTCCTTTCATTCCTGCGCATGAACCCTGCATATATTGCACTCGCTGGGAACTCTCCCACGCTTTCTTTTTTTTTTAACATACGGCACTGATGCTCCCTTGCACCGAGAGAATATTTATTTATACTAACTCGCTAAGGAGGAGAGGGATATCAACGATGGCGATCGCTGAAAAAATATGTCAGCTGATAAAACCAGAGTAGGTACCTCGTACAGATCTGCCATTCCACTGGCCCCTATACCACTGGAATTATCTTCGCCGCATCCGAAACCATCCAACTTTGAAACAAATAACGTCATTTGTGCGGCATAGGCCAATAAAAAAAATTCCTGTACAGTATAATTAGACCAGCTGTGCGCAAACTGGGGGGCGCGAACTTTGCCCTTTACATTGCCTTTTTTCTCGTAGTTTTAGGATTCAAAATTAACAGTCCGCGACACCAACCAGGGTCGGAAAAAACTTCAACAAAAGAGAGGCTGCCAAGCCCTTCTCAGACTTACAAAAGATGTTCTATTATGTTTTTTTGGTGAGCGCAATTCATTAACATGGTATTTGGGGGTCCTAATTTTCTTCAAAATTGAGCTAGTGCGAAAATGTTTCATAGATGTCGCATAGCGTCTCCCCGCCTCTCAACTTTATGTGCTTCTTGCATTGTCAGAGTCCGTGTGTGAGACATTCATATCCTCGGGCTATGGGAGAGCAGGGAAACGTTGACACGACGTACGTCGGTAGACTATGGCCCAAGGGCATGGCTCATTTCCCCAAGCTTCCCCTTCCACCTAACCGGTCTCCGCTTCTTATTCGCCACGGGGTCGTACATATTTCGTAGCCTCGATCGAGCTTGCCAGTCAAAAGAAAGGCAACAATTTCACTAATTTTCCAAATTTTTATTCCCTGGAAACGACCAGCCTTCTGACATCCACGTGGGGCAGTGAATCGAACACACGAACCAAAGTCGACTCAGAGGCATTGAGGATGGGTATGGCATGGGCACAAACAACCTAAGCATAATTGCCTGTTGCAATTATTCGTTACAAATGTTCATTATGAAAAGTAGGCAAGAAATTTGGGGATGGAGCACGATTTTCCCTTTGACGCAACCATTCGAGGTTCACCAAGGCGGGTGAACGACGCGCGAATAAATAAAAAATGCGGGGGAAGATTGGGAGGGACATAACATGCAGAGGCCTGTCCCAAGGCCATAAGCATCCTGGGGTAGGCAGTGGGCGAGTGGGAGACGTGGATAATAATAAAAAGTGCGGGGGAGGGTGGGAGGAACATGACCTAGGGCAGGGGTGTCAAACATACGGCCCGCAGGCCAGATCCGGCCCGCCGTCTGTTCTTGAAATTTCCGCTTGGATTGACTGTTAGAGCAAATTTCGGTGGAAAAAAGTATGGGTGCGGCCCGCAGGCATCTGCAGGATAAGGAATGCGGCCCGTAGACCGATTTGAGTTTGACACCCCTGACCTAGGGCATCCTCCGTGACTGACTAATAGGGAATGAGAAGGGGTCGGGCCTCCTTTACAATGCTGAAAACTCCAATGCTCGGGACACGTTCACCACCTGGTTTTAGGGAATTGAACTACACCATCATAATGGGCTCTATGGCACTAAACGATTTTGCATGAAAACGCGCCCAATAGAAGACGAGCAACTTCGTGCATTGGCTCATATTCAAATTCTCTTCGTGATGCTCTAGTGGTTTTGAGATCGATCTTGCCGTTTTTGAGATACAGATATGAAGTACTGACTAGTACTTCAAAGTGTACTTGGTACCACACTCATTGGAAGGAGCTCTAAGAGTAGATTCATTGATATGCTACTTATAGGGTTGAGTGGGAGTACTTTTGCACATTTAGATTTTCTGAAGGGAAATTAAAAGTAGACCCCCCTCCCCCTGTATGGGGGCTTATTTACGCTCTAGAATCCCTCACGAGAAGAATGGAGCTGAAAAAATTAGCCAAAAAGAATGTTCGATTCGAACTACTCCTGTTTACTTTGTTTTTTCTGTAATTTTTTTCTTTGTGAGGGAGATATAGAGGAACCGACCCTAGTTGGTGTCGCGGACTGTTAATGAAGTTAACGTAAGACTAAAAAAATCACATATTCGTGTTTCCTTTCTCATCCCAACTTAGCCGAAATTACTGTCAGTTTCTGATGAAACGGAACTAGTGGAGGAGGGATAGGAGGGCGCGACTGAATACACTAATGAAAAGGGGGGTGCGACCTGAAAAAAGTTTGCGCACCGCTGATTTAGATGATGTTCTCGATGGTTTGCGCGTCAGGGTCTCCACGCGACCCGGACGCCCGAACGGATGGGCGAGCCACGAGCAGCACAAGCATATCGCGACCACAGGGCGAGCACGTCAAGACATCCGATCGATGTGCATACGAGTTCATATAACACATACAGGAGATCCTCGATATAACGTCGCTAACATATAAGGAAACAAATTTACATATGCGTTGCGTCGTTCCAATTTAACTTCGTAAATCTAGGACTTCCTGTATATCATTTAGTCCATGGGAAAATAGGTTTCGATATAAGTCGTTTCGTTTTTCGTCGTGTTTTCTGGGAACGCATCCACGACGTAAATCGAAGACTTACTGTATATTCAATGACTTCAATGACTGCCCTTCCCAAAATAATGGGGTCATGGTCGAGGCAGATATCTTTAAAGGTTCCCAATCCAGCGCAACAGACCAAAACTCAGTAGTTGGGATGTCCTTCATGACAAACCTAGCAATTTGTGGTATGATGCACATACTAATTTAACAAGCTGATGCAGATTGCAATCTTCCAACCCACCCATTATGCCTCATTAACCCCTTCTCCAAAACGTATTAAAAGTACAAATATTTTTTCATGACCACTTCCTTCCTCCAAAAAAGCTCGTCCGCATAAGTTGTAAGAGGGTTTCCAGAAACTAAATTTCTGCTTATAACAGGAAATCTGTAGTTTCTGTAGGCCTATGGGAATCAATGTTACTCATCAAGAGGAGGATAGGTTTACTCTGAAACAATCAAAGAAAAAATAATATGGTGTTCGTGCCTAAATGAAGATGGGAACATCTAGAAGTTCCGTCATAGACTTATTACGTTCCTGACGGTTCGAATTGGCTCTATTTTGATTAGACCTTAAACTCCCATCAAAGCCTATCAAGCCGGGAAGAGAAAATGCCGTGTCAGCAGTGGTGACGTCAGCTTCGGGCGCCTGCGATTGGTCCCAGCTCGAGTCGATTGTGATTGGTCGGTTGTCATTGCCGGTCTGGGGACGTGAATCACTTGTCGAGCAGCTATTGTCTGCTATGTCTTCCTCGAGGGGTGGAAGGAAAGTGGAGGTTTTAGGGTGGGATTGAGGAATCGGATTAGTTTAAAGACGAGATGAACACGTTTTCTAAAACATGGTTAAGAATGTGTTCATCTTTGACTTGCACCATCGAAAATCAGATTCGTTTCTATGAACACGTTTATCCGCGATTTAAACACGTTTAAAGGCGGTGTGGGTGCACTTGGAAAGAGAATGATGAGTATTACGTGCCAGCTGCTGCTACATTGTCCAAGTCGGCGACAGTGTCCTCGGAAAGACGAAACCTTGTCCGAATTCATCTCCTTCGAACCATTCAAGAGGATTGAGCCGGTCTCCTCCATCGGTTAAGGATTGCATCGGAAACGTCTATCCCTTCATTAGTTTCCATTTCCACCGTCGATGAGAGGCAGGAAAAATGAGGTCCACTCCGGCAAAACTGCATGCTGAACTACCTCTGAGAATCCGTTTAAGGATTTAAATCTGCTGTGGTTAAACCTGCTATGGAACAAGTTTATCTTTCAAGATTAGTTTAAGAGAGAAATAAACTGATTTCATTTGGTGCATGTCACAAATCAGTTTAATCATGAGTTCAACTCATTCTTAAACATATCTGCCTGGAATCAGATAAGTTTAGTTCCTAAACTGATTTTTACAAAATGCCATAATTTTTGCATTTTGTAAATTTATTCTTAAACTAATCTTTGAAGATAGTTTGCAACATGCACCAGTTTCGTTTAACTTTAAACTGATTCGTTTCCATAATGGGCGTCTAATGAGTTTATCTCTGTGAAATTGATTCCCATAGGGTATCATTGTGAGATCAGATTATTTTCGCTTAAACGGATTCGGTGCATGTCACCCAAGTTTAATTCCCTAAAGGGATTCTCAGAGGCAGTTCGGCATGCTGTTTTGCCCGAGTGTGCCTCATTTTTCTTGCCTCTCATCATCTAGCGACGGTGGAAACTGAAACTACTGAAGAGATAGAAGTTTTTCACGCGAATCTGAACCAAACTGCCAGGAAGACTATCAGAGTTCGGGTCGATCATCTTGAATAGTTCGATGGAATTCCAAAGATTTCGTCTTTCTGCGGACGCCGTCGCCGACTCGGTGCGGACAATGGAGCAGTAGCTGACACAATACTAAGCGTTCTCTTTCCAGGTGCAACTACACCGCCTTTAAACGTGTTTAAATCGTAGAGAAACGTGTTCGTGGAAACTAATCTGATTTTCGGTGGTGCATGTCAAAGATAAACACGTTCCTAAACATGTTTTAGTAAAGGCATTCATCTCGTTTTTAAACTCATCCGATTCCTCAATGGGTGTATGTCACCCCCTCAGTCAAAGACTGGCACCCGGACCCAGACCGAGAGCTGCACATGCGCACTGAGTCGAGTTGTCGTTATGGCAACTGCGGGCAGACGGAATGAAAAAGTGAGAAACCGACCGGAATACCTGCCATTTCCCCATAGGTCCTTATGGGAACGGCAGATAAGCGATAGTGGATGAGAGATGTCATTTCACAGTTGTGAATGTCGTAAATCGTAGAGCTTGATCCAGGATGTGGCCAAACAGGGAGCGAAAGCGGCGTGTCACCGATGTCGCGGTCGACCTCGTTTTCAAGGTTGTCGTGGACGAGTACGCTTTTTTCCCTTGCCGTTGCTCGTGTGCCTGCTCGGTTTCTCGTTCGCACATCCTGGTATCTCCGCTTTCGAGTCTCGCTTGCACGGCTGGTCTTTTCGTCGTCTGCTTCTCCCGCCCCGGAGGCATGCCGGGTCGAGAAAGGAATCCGAAAAAATGTTTAGGATGTACGGGAGCGAGTCGGGACTCAATTACGGCACTTGGATGGCCTTCAACGTCCCAGGGATGCTCCTGAACGTCTTCCTCGCTTGGGTCTGGCTCCAGGGAGTCTCCGTCTTCGCCCAGTGAGTCCCAGGGCCTGCCATCGGAATCGATTCTCTCGACTGTGGGTGAGTCCTCGAGGCTCGTGCAGGTGGAGGGACCGGCTGAAACACCCGGGGAAAAGCAGATCGAATCAGAACGAAGCGGCGAGGGCGGAGAAAGCGGCTCGCATGATCGCCGAGAAGTACAAGGAACTCGGATCCATGTCCTTCCACGAATTCATCACTCTCACGCTGTTCATCACTCTCGTCCTGCTGTGGCTCTTCCTGGAGCCTCAGTTCATCCCCGGATGGGCCGACGTGATCAAAGGAGACGGGTGCACGCGGTCTTTCGTTTCGACGCGGTGGCCAAGAGAACCTCAGTCGATGAAAAACTGATATTACGGACTAACTCTTTGAAAATGTGATGATCCAATTTTTTCACGACAGATAGAAAGAATTTGGATCAATCTGCATGCTCATTCGTCATGAGCTCAATGCTCATTCGTCATGAGGACATGAATGAGGATAAAACTTGCTCGACCGCGCCGAGGCCTTGGAGTCATTAAGCCGTCATTGCTCTTCTACTTTCTCCTTCTCAGCTGGAAGAGCCGAGACCGTGGGAGTGTTCCAAAGCTAATTTTTGCAATATTTTCTGGAAAATATGTATCCTAACTTAATGCTCAACTCATATGGTAGAAGAATTGCATCTTGGTGAAGATGGATAAATCTTTCGGTCACACAAAATACTTCATAAATTTCCTATAGTTTGTCTACTGCGGATGTTCCGCCATGTCCGTATGCTCAGGTAGCAGGAAACATTAAGGCAACTTTGCTTAAACGTTGACTTGGGGTTCGAATGTTGATGCAATGAAATATATGGTACATGGGTTTGGGTCTTGAAGGATTAAAGTTATCGCAACGTTACTGACAACTTCGGTGTGATCATTATCGAAGTACAAGGTAAGGGAACAACTGAAACGTACGACACAGTAAAACTCCATTTTACGATGAAAAGACTCGCACCACTATCACACGCTGAGACTCACACAAGACCCGATTACGTCTCAATTACGTCTCTAATACTCTCCTGCAATTACGTCATACACTACCGTGGAGAAGGCAATCCGCACTAAGAGGGAAGTAAAGGTGGACCAAAACAAGCGGTCTGACGAGCAGAACGGCTAAAATGACCACGAGTAAAAATGTGAGGAACTCCCCTGGATTTCATGCGTATACAAGCATGCATCCAAGTGATAGTAGATGGGTCGGGAGAGAGTGTTACGTCACCTTGCAGGACGTTGTCAATGCAATGTCCGTACTAAAGTATACATTTTTCATTGATTCAGCGTTTTTTTGGCCACCACGCGTCTGTCATCTTCGGCGTCTCATTTGTAAACGCCATGATATACAATGAGTAACTTCGCTGTTTCCACATCCACAGGGATGTGGACATCGGAGATGCGACCGCCGCGATGCTCGTCGTCTTCTTTTTCTTTATCATCCCTGCGAAACCCAATTTCTGGTGCTTCCGAGAATCTTCAGGTAAGCAGTCATATTTCCCACCGAATCTACTGGCATTTGGTCCGAGTGAAGGATCTCCTACGTGTTAAGATGAGCCGTCGCAGTCGAGCGTGGCTCTTCTCAACTGGAAGATCCTCCAGGAGAAGATCCCCTGGGGGGTGTCCCTCCTCCTCGGTGGGGGATTCGCGATATCCGAGGCCTCCCAGGCATCCTGCCTGTCCTATTGGCTGGGTCAGCAGATGGGAGGCCTGGGATCGCTGCCTCCGGCCGTTCTCGTTTTCATCATCACTCTCATGACTGCCATGGTGACGGAGGTGGCCTCCAATACTGCTACTGCCACCATCCTCATGCCGGTCCTCGCTCAGCTGGTACGATGCCACTTCCACTTTCTATAATCAGTGGCAGATCCAGTAGTTTTATTTGGAGGGAAGGGAAGGGATCGATGCTTCGATTTTATGAAGACCAAAAATATTGCCAACGCTTTTGGTTTCGGTCATATTTCCTTGGCGCCTCGGAAAAGACGGATGAGTCCAGTAATTTTGGAGGTGGCCAGAGTCCTCATTCAGACCATGAGGAGTTCTTTCAAGATTCAAAGTTCGGGTAGGGACGTGAAGGCGCTTTTTTTTACTCATAAAGACGTCCCGATTCGAGTTCATATACTCGGGTAGTGAGAGGCTTACCCCTCTTTAAAAAATGTATTTTTGTGCGAGCATATCCACTTACTGTCTGTTGTTACAACCAAGTTTTTTAAAAATTCTATCACGCTCCAAAGTCATCGATTCCATTAATGATCTGAAGAGCTTAGGTCTCGTAAACCTTTCGAGCGAGTACGAGCGTTTCTCAAATGAATGTCAAATCAATTCTTGTTCCAATCGTGTTCATAAACTCCTTTTGGTAATTTTTGGACCATTAGTATGATTCACTCCTCCCCCCTCCCCCTGGGGTCCCTCCTCCAGGGTGTTTGGTAAGTTCTCACTGAGAAATTCAACCTTCGCCCTGTAAAGTCTAATCTATTTCATGACGAACTTCAATCAGTGGCGTAGCGAAGGGGGGGCTGGGGGGGCTTCAGCCCCCCCAAGTTTGGTTCAAGCCCCCCCAACTCTGGTCGAAATGCATCTGCCCCACCCCGACGAGGCGAAGTTAGCCCCTCCAACGTTCCGCTTAGCCCCCCCATTGACGAAAACCTGGCTACGCCACTGACTTCAATTGCACCAAATTACCCCAAAATTGCTCAAAACTTGTATATTGCTTTTCTCTGGCGATTATAGCATTTATTAAACTGTTGCAATCATTCTGCTCGCTTCTGTATGTTGGATAAATCTGTCAAAAATGCTTGGTTTCGCATGAGTTGCTCGTAAATCAAAGAAATTTGGCATTTTGGCAGAGGAAGGATGAACTATTTTGACACCGTTTATTTTAACTAATCGGGCACAAGATGTACACAATCTTAAAATTCAGGAAATGATTGGATGACAAAAAAGGAACAAGCGAAGATATGCAAGTCACATAGAAATGCTTGAAAGGGTTTAATAGGGCTTGAAAGGGCTTAAAATGGCAGCAGCCGTGCTGAAAAGCATTCCACACTTTCTCTGAAGGGTTCTCATCAGTTTTTATGACCTCCTAATGGGATTTATGGTTTATAATTGTTTCTATTTGTGACTTTTTTATGGATAGTTTCTTTTTATTGGTTTAAATAATATACTTTCCAACCCAATTTGTGACGTGCCGCATAGGTTACACCTGTCCTCAGTCTGAATTCAGTATTCTGGATCTGAGTTTATGGGCCTTCATGACAGAATTTCCTTTCCTTATTCTGCTCTCTTTATCGATCAAAAGGGGAATAAAGCAGATGTTAAAATCACTTTGGTAATGTTCCTTTCTCATTCCCCCACTGGCGTAGGCAACTGTGGTGCATGTGAATCCTCTGTACCTGATGCTGCCATCGGCCATAGCCTGCTCGTATGCCTTCATGCTCCCAGTGGCAACGCCTCCCAACGCGATCGTCTTCGAGATCGCGGAGATGAAGACCACCAGCATGGTACGCCGGGGCCATTTACCTCCTTCCTTCTCTTCCACTTTCGACCTCTCGATTTCTCCTCCCGCGAGCAGATGAAGGCGGGCTTCGTCATGAACGTCATCTGCGTGGGGGTCGTCAACTTGATGATCAACACGTTGGGGGATTTTCTCTTCGACTTCTCCAAGTTCCCCGACTGGGCGCGAGTCTCGAGCAACTCCAGCTCCTCCGTCTCCTCCCACTGCAACTACACTCTATAGTATCTCCGAGAGATTTCCATCTGTAACAATTCGCTTCGTCTCTTGCGACTCTTCTTTTCAGTGTGGCATTTTCAAGGATTCCGTGGACAGTACGATCGTTGTTGTGGAGTACTTGAGTTTCAAATTTATATGAACGTGTTTTTCATTGGATTCTCGTCTTCTTCCCTTCTGGTTCATCGATGTGTATTGTTCCAGATTTAGGTCGTCAAACCGTCAGATCGGCGAATCGCATAAAAACAACGGAAAACATCCTATTATTGAATTAATTAATTAATTAATTGAGAATATACATTCGGCTATGCTCAATGGAACTCGTCCGATTTTTCCTAAAACCTCTTGCAATTCACAGAAGTATTTCATTACGTCTTCGCTCCTGAAAAGCTTGAATATTCCACCATTCGTCGCGTCAAGTCGAAGACCATTGGTCGTCAACTTAAACACGCTTAAAAATTAAGTCGAAGACCACTCCGTCTGCAGAAAGTGGCCGAGACTGCAAGCCTTTTCGCATTGCTGCTGCTGTGGGGTAAAACCAGGAACGTTCGGACGGTTAAGCCGGGCCAGCTGCGGAATTTGCTAAATTGCTTATGTTTTTTTTCGTGTGCGGGATACGAGTGGGTGCGAGTGCGATGAAGATGCCAGATGCGAAAAATTTTAAACTGGAACGCAACTTGGACCGGACACACCAGAAGTAAGGGGGAAATCTGTTGCAGCGCTCTTGATTCCCCAGTTTCCTGTCTCAGAATTAATTATACCTGGCACGAAATGTTTCCTCCAATTTCTCTCGTCCGCGATTACGCATTTCTTCCCCAAATTTGGGATCGCGCTCAACGATCGCGTCAGCATGACGTCGATCCTCGTGCCAGGAAGAACTCTTAGGGCGATCTCGGCAATTCTTTTTTATTCATAATTGAGCCTTTGCACTCATCTGTCGGGTCCTTTCCGACTTCGTGTATTTTCTCTTATGTGTCGGGAGTCTCCCGGCAAGTCAGTGGTCAAGTCATCGCTTATCCGTGTCGTATTGAAAGCGGAATATACCCCGAAGTGCCATTTCTACGTATTTACTTGCACGGTCGGCATCGTGTCACACCCGGGGTAAAAATGACAAAAATGACAAAAATGACAAAAATCGCCGTCCGAACTTTCGGTGGTTGCAGAGCCAGCGGGTCAACGTGCATCGTGGATGTCAGCCGTCGAATGACGCGGCAGATGGATGTCAGCCGTCGAATGACCCGGCGGATGGAAATCAATTCTTCCTTGCTTCCTTCTACCGGAAAATAGGATCGCAATGAACGAGGAAAAACATGGCATGAAGTCCTCGACTGCTTTCGTATTACATCAAGTTAATTTTTTTTTTAACTTTTTAAACATATGTGAATGACCACAACCAAATGGTTGGTTCGCGATGTTCACAGTTCACAGCTTTTTTTTTTTATCGTCTCAGACTCCGATTATTACTCACGCGTTAGAAATTTTGCAGCGACAGCTGCGCCAATTGCGTTTTAGAGTAAATCAACAATGATGAAGGGGGGGGGGGGGGGGGAGGGGGAGGGGGAGGGAATTGGTTTGCGAAACAACAGTTGATCCATCGCATGAAAAGAGTCCGATCATACCAGCGCCTTGGAGCAAGTTCCTTGTACGAGGGACTCATTCAACATTGAAGAACATTAACATAAATAACTGAAATGTGTGATTTAATAATTTAATATTTATTGTATTTATTTTCTTTATTTTGTTTAATTTGCTTATTTTGTTGTGCAAAAACTGGAACGGAACAGAAAAACCGGAACGGAACTCAATCCCTTTTTTCTTTATTTTCCCCCCATTTTTGCCAGGACTGACTCCAAAACTGGTTCCAAGCCAGTCTTTCCTTTCACTGGAATCTTTCCAGGGTTGGACTCGATAGTTGGCCGAATCTAGTTCGGGAACGAATGCGAGAGAACGATGTCGCGGATTGTATTGCGAATACGAGGGAGAGAATGAACGTTAAGCACCGTCCGCTTTCGTTCCCGTTCCCGTTCCTGTTCCGCTTAGACAAACTCGGACTACTGTTAAGAGGACGGGGCTTGGATTCCGGAATGCCACAGAATCGAAGGAGGTTCAGCATGATCGGATTGTGTCGGCCTCTGCGCGCTCTGAACGGGGTCGCGACCTGGAATCCCCGATCGACTCGCGTCCGATCGTCTCGTCCACGCTGAGGGGTCCGTCGCTTCCTTGCGTCTACCCCGACCCGTTTTTCTCCTTCAGATCTCGGTTCATTAAATCGCGGTTCATTAAATATCGGTTCATTAAATATCGGTTCATTAAATATCGGTTCATTAAATATCGGTTCATTAAATATCGGTTCATTAAATATCATTCTCCCTAAAAATCGTTCTTTGACTCATAAATTGAAAGGGCAAGAAATTTGTTCTCTCTTCACATCCTGGTTTTGTCTTCTTGCAGACCCAGCTGCTCCGTCAGGAACTTCGTCCATAACGTCACGAAACGTTAGAACGGAACGGAACTTTATACGATTCAGAACGGGATCGTCTCGGAACGGAACTCTATTAATTTTATTCAAGATGTAACGTCATAACGTTCCGTGACGTTTCGGTCATCGGGATGCTCGAAAAGCCTCAACGGTCTTTAACGTTTTGAACAGACGCTGATCGTTGGCTGGGCTAGAAGATGACTGATGACCGATGCTGATGGCTGATGACTGATGCTGATGAATACGATTCGAGTGATAGAAGCGTTATCGGTCGCAAACTGCGTCCGTTTCCCAGAATTCTATGAGGCATTACCGGGGTTGGGAACCCAGCCGGGAGGAAGTGACGATGCGGGGGAGGGGGGGCAAGAGGGGGGGCAAGAGGGGGGATGATGTCATCACCCGATCTGGGTCACGTGTGACCCGGAATTCATTCGTACCGGGAAAACAGGAAGTGCGAACTCGGTTTCGTGCACCGGGATTAATTCCGGACTGGATTCCTTTTTTCGGCCCAAAAGCCATCTTCCGTTTCATTCCATTTCCTTCCGTTTCCGATCCCGATTCCACCTCGAGTAAGAGAAACTCGGCGGTCGCCGAACCGGTCGGGCGAACGACTCGTTTCGCAAGAAGAGTTTTTTTTTCCCAACGTTCGCCATTTGCCTCTCGTGGCTTTGGATGTGCCGAAACGAACCTCGAAGCGGGTCGAGGCGGGAACGAGCCGGGTGCAGATGGTTCATCGGGGATTCTTTGCATCGTCTCGCGGTCGAAAGATGGAATCTCCGCTGCCGCGGTCCCATCTTCGAGTCTTCGATGCGAGTCGAAAACCATGGAATCCAGTGGAAATGCGTCTGTACGTCGAGGGCATATCGTCTCGGGTGGGGGTCATCCACTCGTTCCATTCGTACGAGGAAACGACGAACGGGAGCAAGGTTCGCGTACGTTTCCCTTCGAAACGGCACCCCCGGCCAGCGACACACCTTCCCCGCGTTTCCATCGAGCCCGAAACGCCGGCCGCAAGCCATCAGACATTTGAAGGAGATGCGCACGTCACGAGCCCTAAAAGGTCGAAAAAGTTTCGAGACTCGGGTCACCGTGACCGAAATTGCATGCCAAAACAAATTTTGCCGAGCTCGGGGTTCCGCACGACGAGCGCACCGAGGGCACACGGGCCTCACGTGGCAACGACCGGGTTGCCCCGCGTGCAACTCTTCGGCTGTCGGTCGGCGGTTTGCACTCGCCTCGCGAAGTCGTCACGTTTCGAAGAGCGTTCCGATGCGAAACTTTGCCAGAGGCTGCGGAAAACGGCTGCAGAGACCTTCGAGACGCCGAGACGGACGCACGGACGATCGAGACGAGACGAGACGATCTCGCGCCCTCGAGTGTTTCGGCGGCATCGACGATTCCGAGAAGGCCGCGAGTCCCCGGAAGGTGACAAGGTGACAAGGTGACAAGGTGACAAGGTGACAAGGCGACGTCGGACGGTGTCCTCCGACCGCGAGGGTGAGTCCATCGCGAGTTCGTTCCGGAGTGGAAGAACGACGAAGGAAGAGACGCACGTCGATGTGCCGTTGACGTCTCCGAGAAGCGATCCGGAGGAAAACGACAACCGATGCGGGCAGACGAGAATCTTCACCACCTTCGCGACGAGGCACCGGCGCACGGACGGCCGACGGACACCGGCACGGACGGCCGACGGACACCGGCACGGTCTCGCGACCGCATGCCCCCTACTCCCCGGACCTTTCACCTTTTCCCGAGAACGAAGAAGCGCCCGAAGAGACGTCGTTTTTCCTCCGCAGTCGAGGCGAAGGAAGCCACGGTGGGGACACCGAACGGGGTCGCTAAAAATGGCTTCCACTTCCGTTTCGAGGAACTTTACGGACGTCGGCAAAAGGGTACAGAAAGCCAGAGCCGCTTCTTCGAAGGCGACACGGCAACGGTGCCGTAACGCTTACCGTTTGCGTGCGATAAACCCAGTCTCCAAACTTTTTGAACCTACATCGTATAAAGTATATTATCAATATATATATTTATTAAATAATATATTTGTGTAAAAGGGGCCTCGCACGGTGAAAATTCGGAACTCTCCCGGTGGAACCGGCCCGGAACGGCGATCGCCGCGGTCGCGCCGATATCGTCGTCGTCGTCGGTCGAGAGTCGCTCCCGCGGGAGCAGAGCGACGCACCCGCGGTCGCCGCGGCGTCCGGCTCCGGAAGTCCCCCGAGGATCGCGCGGGGAAGCGTTTCCAGACGTGCCGTCGGTCGGGCGCGGGTGGCTTCGGTGCCGGTCCGCGTCGTGCCGCCGGCGCTTGCGAGCGCGTGCACGGGTGGGACGAGTCTCTCACCGTACCGGAGAATCGTGCGGAAAAATAGATTCCGAGGATTCCTGTCTACCCTCGCGTGCGCGTCTGCTATTTCGTTTTATCGACTAAGAAAATGCGGCGGAAATCGTTGAGGCTGCATTCGTCGCTCCACGGTCCACGGTATTCAACACCTAATTCCATCGAGTCTCCATTGGGCCTCCGTTGGGCCTCGAGCTCCGGAACCGAAACAGCCCCATTTTCCCAAAAAGGGAAAATTTATGCGTGTGTGCGTTCGGCTCGCTCGTCCACATAGGTCACACGCATCAGCAAAGGGTCATAGGAAGGGATTCCACATTTATGGGTCGGGGGACACAAGAGACGCGAAACCAGTCGCTCGCTGGATCTCGTCTCGATCGAACCCGGACGGAAGAACACGGAAGGAGACGCCGTCCAGAGGTGAGAAGAAGAAGAAGAAGAAGAATAAAGTGGATCGTCGGAAGACTTGGTCCTTCCCCTCCGAATTCGCAGGCTCGAGAGCGGCAGAGACTCGGCTCCTTCGGCGATGGCGTCGGCCGAGGGGAAGGGAATTCCCTGGACCTCCCACGTCTTCCCCTTCTGGAAGAGCTGGATCGTGGTCCTCGTCCCTCTCCTGGGTCTCCCGCTCCTCTTCGTCCCCGACCAGCGGGTGGTGAGTCTCTCTCGCCCTCGCGAGAGATCCGGACGCGTTGACGACCCCCGAGTCCAACCGGGAGGATTCCGACTCGTACCGCGCGCGGATCGAGAAGATCCGCGTGGAGTCGACGCGTCCTCGTCGGTCCCCGTGCGGACGAGTCCCCCGGTGGTACGGTCCACGCCGAGTCCACACCACTCCGAGCGGGTGGCTGCCATTCCACGCGTGGATCACCCGGAGGATTCGGATGGTCCCTCGGTCGACTGCAGGGGGATTTTTCTTAAGGGTTCCGAGGGACGGGGGCCGACGACGACGGCCGACGACGACGGCCGACGACGGCATAAAATCCGGCGTTTCTCTTCGTCAACTCGAACGGCCGTTTCTCGGCATCCTGCGGACCGATCCCCTCGGATTGAATTGCATCAGAGAAGAAACCGGCATTCTTCCCGTACCAAACAGTCCTCATCTGCGCGGAATTTAGTGGGAGCTATGACTCTTTTAAAGCGAATTAATTAACAATTAATTGCACATTTAATTGGTTAATTACGCAATGCACCGGGAATTGGATTAATTTTGGTACGTCTTACGCAGACTCACGAAAAAGTTCCAGGGCTGGCCTTGCATTTCGACGGAGTGCACGAGGTCCATTTCAAAGTGAGTCACGTCGAAATGGTTCCCTCGGCTCGAGATGCGCTTCTGCCCGCGTTCGTGAAGTGCTTGGAACACCGGCTGGAAGTTGCGCTTGGCATCGACCGTGCCACTTCCACGCACCAGAGAATTCAAATATGAAAATGCCGCTTTGAAGAAACCGTAATCGACGGCGACGAATCGATGCCAGGGAAGGAAAGTGGAATCGTGGGGCGACGTCGGTCCCGCATTCTCCGGATTCGCCGGACCCCGCGGCGAGTGACTTCGCGCGGATTCCCGTACCGAGTTCCTTCCGAAAGGCCTCCGATCGGACGACACAGACGCTTCGACGACCGGCTGCGACCGACGCGTTCGAGGTGGTTGTAAACGATGGCTTGCGGCCGGCGTTTCGGGCTCGATGGAAACGCGGGGAAGGTGTGTCGCTGGCCGGGGGTGCCGTTTCGAAGGGAAACGTACGCGAACCTTGCTCCCGTTCGTCGTTTCCTCGTACGAAGGCCAGTCCTGGAACTTTTTCGTGGGTTCTCGCATCGCCGTCGCCGATTCTCGGCGCGCACCATCGTCGCATGACGCTGCGAGGGGAAGCTCGACGACGAGCGGAAAGAAACGAGGAACGGAAAACCGCTCCCGTGGACCCACCGTAGCGGTTTTTCTTGCAGGTATTCGCCGGTTCCGACGAGCAGATGCTGAGAGAATGGATGAGTGACGATGTTTGAGAATGGATGAGAGTGGATGAGAGTCGATCTTTCGAGAATGGATGCGAATCGATGCTTCGAGAACGGATGCGTAACGACGAAGCTAAACAGAAGATTCGATGCCATCCCCGAAAGCCCATACTGGTACGAGCCGATTGGGCTTACAGATGGAGGGAAGGTGTGCATACGTCGTCCTCATCATGGCGGCATACTGGATGACGGAAGCCGTCCCGTTGGCCATAACCTCCATCATTCCCGTCTTCCTCTTCCCCCTCCTTGGGGTCTTGGGCACCTCCAAGGTCTGCACGGTCTATCTGAAGGAGACCAACATGATGTTCATCGGTACGTACTCTCCCTACGCCGAATTCGCTGCCGGCAACGTGAGTTCACGAGATGTGCACGCGTGCAGGTGGTCTCATGGTCGCCATCGCCGTCGAGCACTGCAATCTTCACATCAGGATCGCGCTCAGGGTCCTCGTCTGGGTGGGAGCCTCGCAGAAATGGTCCGTTTCCCTTTGCTCTCGTCTCCGCTCGAATTTGTTGCCTCGCAAAATTGGCGTTGCTTTCCTTACTTTCCTCGGAAATGCGTCGTCGTTCCGTACGAGACGCATTGGCCTACCACGATGATGATGTTTGTCACAGCGTCGGTCGAAGGGAACGATGAATCGATGATCGTTAATTCCTTTTGCGACGCGGCAGGTTGATGCTGGGGTTCATGCTGACGACGATGTTCCTGTCCATGTGGATCTCCAACACGGCCACGACTGCCATGATGGTCCCCATCGTGGAGGCCGTCCTCATCGAACTCTATCGGGTAGGAACTTCAAAGACGCCTCGTGCCTCTCTCGCGGCATCAACAAATCCGATCGATCGACTGGATGTAACACACAGAGGGAAAAGGGTCAAATGAAGATCGAGGTGGTGAATGGATCGTCCGAGAAAGGCCGAGTGAACGGTCGGTCCGGGGACGACCCAGAACACGATCGCCCGGAGGAAGAAAAGCCGACGAAGGAGCGACAGACGTCCGTCGCGACCGCTCTGTCCGCCGTGGAGATGGAACACGAGTGAATGCATCTCCTTCCCTCGTTCCTCATCGAGTATATATTTGAAGGTGGATCGGGAAATTCCACGGTTCCCATCGATAGGATGACAGTAAAGAAAGCATCGATCAGGTGTGCAGTGTCTTCTTAGCGACGACGAAGGCGGGACGCGAATGTGTGAGTTTGGGGGATAGGGACAGCCGGATAGGGACAGCCGGATAGGGAGTGGGATGGGGATAGTCAGCGGAAATCCACCTCGATTGGTACCAGTGCACGTCCCGATTCATTCCTCAGCATGAACCCTCTACATGCCCTGGGGTTTCTGTGGGAACTTTCGCACGCACATTGTAATCTAAAATAGGGCATCGACGCGCTTCCAGACGGAGATTTTCTCTCTGTACTGACTTGTAATCACCGACGAGGGCAATCGCAAGGTAGAATTCGACCCTTTGGAGGGAGAGTTTTTTTTCGCACTCAGCCGAGAATGATTTTTCCAGGAATGTAATTATTTCTACGAGGCATAGATGGCAGGACCGAGCGAAAATTTTATCACATTCAATAGTGTTGCATACGACCAAAAAAATGAAAAATAGAAAAGCCCCTCCGCGAACCAGAAAGCCTTTACCGCGGTTTAACACGACTCTCGATCGGATCCAGCACGTGGCAAAACTGGGAGGAGGAGAAGGAGTCGGAGTTCAAAGAAGGCTACCACGAGGCTCGGATTCAAGTCTTGTTGGCCGTGGCTTATTCGGCCAACACGGGAGGAACGGGGACCCTCACGGGCACCACACCCAATCTCATCCTCAAGGCGGTCGTTGACGAGTACGTCAGTCGTCTTCGTGTCTCCCCTTGTCGGCCCGGTGTCTCCCCTTGTCGGCCCGGTGTCTCCCCTTGTCGGCCCGGTGTCTCCCCTTGTCGGTCCGGTGTCTCCCCTTGTCGGTCCGATGTCTCCCCTTGTCGGCCCGGTGTCTCCCCTTGTCGGCCCGGTGTCTCCCCTTGTCGGTCCGGTGTGCACGGCTAGCTTTCGTCGTTTGCTTCTCGCCGTCGAGAGCGATGACAGTGTGGAAAACGGTATCCCTTTCGATCGATAGGTATTACGGGAGCTCGACAGGGCTGAATTACGGGACGTGGCTGGCGTTCAACGTTCCCGGGATGCTCCTAAATGTATTCATCTCCTGGATCTGGCTCCAGTTCATCTTCATCTTCGCCCGGTGAGTGACCAAGTCCGTCACCGGATCGGACGATCGCTGATGAGTATCGGGTGACGATGACGATGACGATGGTGACGATGCCGTGTGCAGGTGGAGGAAAAGTCGGAAACACCCGGGAAATAAAGCGGGGAGTCGGAGCGACGCGGCGAAGGCGGAAGAAGCGGCTCGGAAGCTGATCGCCAAGAAATACGCGGAACTCGGGTCCATGTCCTTCCACGAATTCATGACCCTCTTGCTCTTCGTCTCCCTCGTCCTCCTCTGGCTCTTCCGGGAGCCCCAGTTCATCCCCGGATGGGCCGACGTCATCAAAGGGGACCAGTAAGAAACCGACGCCCTCGTCTGCTCGTTTCCTGTCCTCCGTCCTTTTACCAATCGATTGACATTTTCGTGCGAAACGACGCGTAACGAGCGGTCGCACCGTTTCGCAGGAAATTGGGGATCGGAGACGCGACCGCTGCGATGCTCATCGTCTTCCTCTTCTTCGTCATCCCGGCAAAGCCAAACTTCTGGTGCTTCCGGGAATCACCAGGTCGAAAGAACGCTTTTCCTCGCCCGTCTTCCGAGTTTTCGAACGTCAGAAACGATCCGATACCGTTTAGATGCCGAGCCGAAGTCGAGCCCGGCCCTTCTCAACTGGAAGGTCCTCCACGACAAGATCCCCTGGGGGGTGGTCCTCCTTCTCGGCGGGGGATTCGCGATATCCGAGGCAGCCGAGAAGTCCTGCATGTCCTACTACATGGGTCTGCAGATGGGGAGCCTGGGCTTCTTGTCTCCGACCGTCCTCGTCTTCATCGTCACTCTCATGACCGCCATGATCACGGAGGTGGCCTCCAACACGGCCACTTGCACCATCCTCATGCCCGTCTTGGCCCAGCTCGTGAGATACCGCTTTCGTTCCGCGACGGTACCTAGCCGACCTGCGGTCGGTCGAGTACCGTTTGGTTTCGCGAAATGCATCTTTCGACTTCGCGTGCGCATCGCACGGGTTCGTTTAGCTCCGTTGAAAATTCCACACGACCGATGACGTCTCCCCTGGCCTCGACGTCCCGTCTCGTACTTTATCGCCGTCCTATTTTCCGTGATAGAAGCCCAGTTGCTGACCGTCCGATGGAAATATAGTAGGAAAATTATTAGGAGTTGCACGAACGTGTGAGAACCGAGAGACCGATCGCACGAGCCGAGACTCCGTTCTGCGAGAGAAGCGAAAGGACCGGAAAGGACACGATCGAGTACGAGAACCAGCCAGCGCCTTCGCCGAGGATCCTTCGCACTGTCAGTCCTTTCCTTGCTCCCTCTCCCCCCCCCCCCCCCCCCCCCCCCCCCCCC